CTGGGCTCTTTAGTCCTTCCAACTGTTTCTCCCAGGTCCAATTCTTCATTCATTCTTCCTCTGGGCACACAGGACACTTCTGGGTGCTAGGCACACAGGAAAGCTTTCAGACTTTGAATTCAAGTGTGTCTTTGCAAACAATGCTGTAATAAATAAGATCTATGCTTACAGTGTGGTGCAAGAGGGTCGAGGAGAAGCATTCCAGTTCGTGTGAAGCTTTGAAAGTGTAGTGAGAGCTGGCCAGGAGAGCTGGGGGCATTCCCCAGGCACACTAGGCACCAGGAATGGTGGTGGAGAGTGCAGGCTCTGAGGGCACCCTGCCCAGATCCCCAGCTCTGGGGGATCTTACTTTACCTGCTGGGACTTCACCATTCTGATTCCACTTCCAGAAGGGTAAAATGTGTATACTCATGTACGCATAATTCAATGGAGTTTTCTCTGAGAAATAACAGTTAAGTGGGTGAAGCTTCAAGGACAGTGCTTAGCATGGAATAGTAGTTTAGGAAATATGTGAATCTGTGAATATTCTCAAAGCACAGAAAATAGCATGCATGCCTTCCACATTAACTAATACAAAAATTTTAACATAGTAGGAGTTCAAGAATCACAATTGACCACTTTGGTATTAGACTGTTTGTATTAGTATATATTTCTGTCTATCAAACTATTAGACTTTTATGTTGGGTAGAGTGTCCTGCTTCAATTATCACCAAAGTAGAACCATAAAATTAGGGGCAAATTATGGCTTTGACTATGAACATGGACATTTCGATTCAAACTCACCTTGGAGCTGGCTGTGGCATCATGCTGCAAGGCGTGGGAGGCTGTATAGTCCTTCCGTGAGAGTTGCAGGTGAACTAAGAGTGCCGATGGCTGATAGCTAGTTGTATAAAAGCCCCCTGAATTTCCTCATTTGTACTCATATCAAAAACCAATAAAGTTTACCTAACACACCTAGATACTCAGAGCAGACATCCTTACAAAATGCAAATAAACAGGATGAAGATTCTCTCACTCACATGTCCACCTACTATATCAGACACGTTCTTCTCCACTGAGGACCAAGGGTACAGACTACTGGCACAGCTCTTGTCCTCAAGGCCCCCAGTCTAGTATGCAGGATCTCATGCTCAGCTTACAGTTTGCTCAAACACCTGGAGATCACACCCTTAAAGTTTGCTTTTTCAGTGTCACATCTTTTGGTGAGCGAGTTGTTAGGCTGCCAGGCTAACAGGTAATTTCCACTCTCTTCTCCCTCGACTGCATTAATGTCAGTGTGGGGGTACCTCTGTTCTGGGCACAAATCGCTGAAAATGTGTGACATCTTTGACTTTTTAAAACTGAAGATGGTGTGTGCATGAGTGCCCGTGCACCTGCACACATGGGCCACCAAGGCAGTGTTCATGGAACCAGGGTGGTGGTCTAAACGAGACAGGGCACAGTCACGCTAGAAAAGTGCTCTCTCACTTCTCATGTGAAATTCTTGGGTGACATATGTAGCTCTTTAATCAGTGCTCAACTCCCCTAGGTCTGGGCTCTTTAGTCCTTCCAACTGTTTCTCCCAGGTCCAATTCTTCATTCATTCTTCCTCTGGGCACACAGGACACTTCTGGGTGCTAGGCACACAGGAAAGCTTTCAGACTTTGAATTCAAGTGTGTCTTTGCAAACAATGCTGTAATAAATAAGATCTATGCTTACAGTGTGGTGCAAGAGGGTCGAGGAGAAGCATTCCAGCTCGTGTGAAGCTTTGAAAGTGTAGTGAGAGCTGGCCAGGAGAGCTGGGGGCATTCCCCAGGCACACTAGGCACCAGGAATGGTGGTGGAGAGTGCAGGCTCTGAGGGCACCCTGCCCAGATCCCCAGCTCTGGGGGATCTTACTTTACCTGCTGGGACTTCACCATTCTGATTCCACTTCCAGAAGGGTAAAATGTGTATACTCATGTACGCATAATTCAATGGAGTTTTCTCTGAGAAATAACAGTTAAGTGGGTGAAGCTTCAAGGACAGTGCTTAGCATGGAATAGTAGTTTAGGAAATATGTGAATCTGTGAATATTCTCAAAGCACAGAAAATAGCATGCATGCCTTCCACATTAACTAATACAAAAATTTTAACATAGTAGGAGTTCAAGAATCACAATTGACCACTTTGGTATTAGACTGTTTGTATTAGTATATATTTCTGTCTATCAAACTATTAGACTTTTATGTTGGGTAGAGTGTCCTGCTTCAATTATCACCAAAGTAGAACCATAAAATTAGGGGCAAATTATGGCTTTGACTATGAACATGGACATTTCGATTCAAACTCACCTTGGAGCTGGCTGTGGCATCATGCTGCAAGGCGTGGGAGGCTGTATAGTCCTTCCGTGAGAGTTGCAGGTGAACTAAGAGTGCCGATGGCTGATAGCTAGTTGTATAAAAGCCCCCTGAATTTCCTCATTTGTACTCATATCAAAAACCAATAAAGTTTACCTAACACACCTAGATACTCAGAGCAGACATCCTTACAAAATGCAAATAAACAGGATGAAGATTCTCTCACTCACATGTCCACCTACTATATCAGACACGTTCTTCTCCACTGAGGACCAAGGGTACAGACTACTGGCACAGCTCTTGTCCTCAAGGCCCCCAGTCTAGTATGCAGGATCTCATGCTCAGCTTACAGTTTGCTCAAACACCTGGAGATCACACCCTTAAAGTTTGCTTTTTCAGTGTCACATCTTTTGGTGAGCGAGTTGTTAGGCTGCCAGGCTAACAGGTAATTTCCACTCTCTTCTCCCTCGACTGCATTAATGTCAGTGTGGGGGTACCTCTGTTCTGGGCACAAATCGCTGAAAATGTGTGACATCTTTGACTTTTTAAAACTGAAGATGGTGTGTGCATGAGTGCCCGTGCACCTGCACACATGGGCCACCAAGGCAGTGTTCATGGAACCAGGGTGGTGGTCTAAACGAGACAGGGCACAGTCACGCTAGAAAAGTGCTCTCTCACTTCTCATGTGAAATTCTTGGGAAAAAAGTTGATATTCACATAATACAGAAGTCAGTTTTAAGCTTATAGTAGGTTCGAGTTAAAGAGCCTAAGTAAAAAAGTCAACATAACAAATTAAGTTTCTCTTTCAGAAAGATAAGTGCAACTCAGCATAGGGAGGGGTTTTGCTTTTGCTTGGAAGCAAATACAAATGATGTCACTTACTAGATGTGTCACCTTCAATAAGGTAACTGTCTGTGTCAGGAAAAATGGAAATATTTGCCTCATGGTATGTTTAGCATAGCACTTGCTTTGACTTTCAATGAACTTAAACCATTATTATTATTTATCCCTGCCAGGATGTTTGCAGTTTAAGATCTGGTTGCTTGAAAGTTAATACCTTAACTCAATGGAATAAGCATTCAGTGGTATAATTTTTAATACTGTTAAGTGGGATTAAAGAAGGTATATAAATATATGTAATATATTTAGGAAAAAATCAATAAAAAGCAGGGTGCAGTGGAAGGATGCACACCTCTGACCTTGTGGGAGGGGTACATGGCTCCCTATAAATTACACTGTGGATGGCCACACTGATGTGGAAATCAATGTAGCAAATTGTCTACCACCATCTTCTTTCTGTGACCTGATGAAAAAAAAAGAAAGGGGTTAAACTAACCATGAACGACTGAAGTCTTAGCATGGCGACTCTGACGGGTTTTAGAGAGAGAGTGCAGGGAGGGGCTCGGTCCCTAGAGAGACTTGAGGACTTCTGTGAACAGCGCACAAGCTCTGGAATACAGGCTGGCCTGCAAGGACCTCCAGGAACAGACTCAGAGCGCTTTAATAAGTATTCCAGGGAGTTAGGCTTTCCTGGAAAAAACAAATTAGTGTGAGAAGCCAGTACTGTGCAATTTCAGTTTTAAAAATAGCCAAGTGTTGTTAGGCTGCTGTGCGCATGAGAGAAAAAGAAAGTCCTTGTTAATATTTGCCTTAGCTTCCACATTAAAACAGAGGAGCTACACTGAAATTTTTGCTTGGCAAATAATGCAAAGGTCATAAGGTTTGTATCACTTGCAATCACGGTTTGGTTCTTCCAATGACAAAGTTTGGGAGGAATGTGTCCTCTTTTATCAAACAGTCTCGCAATAAAGGACAGCCAAGTTGGCGGTTCTGCCTCTTTCACTAAGGACCAGAGCTACGCCTGCTCTTTCAGCTCTTCATTCGCCTAATTGCCCTGTGAGGCTGGCAGGGACATTCCCTGCAGCCGTGGCTCTGCTGACTGCAGAGACCCTACCTGGCACTCTAACTTGGTGCGTCAGCATTTCAGGTAGAAATGAATGAAAAATCAATCAGGATGACTGCAGTGATAGTGTGCCCAACTCTAACTTAGTTTGTCCATAATTCTCCACCATTCTCCATAGACCCAGGCAGTGTTTAAGATGGTAAGTGAATTTGTAACAAATGTGCTGCTTCTGCTTAATTGGGCTTTTTTTTTGGTCCTCTTTTCTATTTAGAACAGGCAAATCTAACCTGCTCAGGAAGCTACATGTAAAATGAATGATATCAAGTTGCATGCAAATATTCTTTATTTGCCATGGTTCAGTTCCTTATTAGACTGGGTGATAACTGTTCATTTACAGATACATGAAATTGTTGTTTTATAACTTATGCTTCAAATTCAGAGGTTTAAACATGTTTTTAAAAGTCTATATCCTTGTCCCATCTCTCTAACTTGCTATAACTCTCTATATTGAAACTATGCTTCTTTAGATTTCTAGATTTACAATTCTGCAAAGATAGAGTTAAATACTGATTGGACTCTGGCTACATAAGGGAAACTGGAGTTCTTCAAAGCTGCAGTCTTCAGCTCCCAAAGACAGCTACAGTAACTTTCTGAACAGATTGGGTTAAAAATTTTTACAGACCCATTCTGTGATGATAAGGCGGTAGTAAGTTGTGCAGTGCAACACTCCAAAGGGTTCCAAATCTCACAAGCCTCTTTGTATGTGATGCTCTCACAGTGAAGAAGATTCTTTGGGATACAAAGATGAAGAGTCTACTTCTTCTGGTGCTGATTTCAGTCTGCTGGGCTGATCATCGTTCAGACAACTATACTCTAGATCATGACAGAGTTATTCACATACAAGGTAAGAAAACACAGGTTCTCTTGTGAAAGTCAAGTTAATTTCAAGTTACTCAGAGTTGAGGTTAGTGTTTCTTAATCTCAGTTCTGCTGCATTAACTTTTCTTTCCTTTCTGCTAATTGGTGAACATGCTTTCTGACTTTTGAATGTTATTGCATCAGAGTAGAGTTAGGAATTGGGGACAATTAAAGTGGAATGGCTTAAGAATTTCCAACTGCAGGGAGTTAATGTAATTGTTCAAGGCTTTTTTAGTATAGTTGTCATCTTCTAAGTAGAATAGAGGGCATAAAGTTTATTTAAATGCAAGGTGAAAGAAGGAAGAAATAAGAAGCAAAACTAACAATGATGTAAGGTCATTCTGTTAGAGTAATCATTAAGAAAACCAATGTGAAAATGAAAGTCAGACAAGCTAAGGTTCTGGAAAAAATAACTTACCCTATTAACCATCTCCTTCAGTAAAGCTTTAATTCTCATAGACTGTATATTGCCCCTGCATATTTCTTTTCAGCTCAGCTGAATCCCAAGCCTGAGAGCTGTAGCAAGATTGGAGGCTGCAGTACAATGCAGCTATTTCCTGAGTCCCAGCTTCAGATGAGGGACATTCTTCTTTAAGAAAGCTAAGAGGCTTAATGCAGTGAGAAAAAGATAGTTCTAAAAGAGCTGTAGCTTCTCTCTTTGCCCTTGTATGCTGAATAATTAAAATAAGAATTATAGAGCTTAAAGTATAGTCTCAGAAAACTGCATCCACTGTTGAAAAGTATGACTTGTGAAGGTCAAATGATAGTGTAAGTCTGGCTAGAAGTATTTTTTCTGTAGGTATTATGACTATCCAAATAGAATTCTGAATTGACAATGTCGAGCTATTTTAAACATATCTCTTTCAATTTTCTTTGCTTGCAACAGCTTTATATTTTTCACTGTTGAACCGTGAAAAGGAATTATATAATCATAAATATTACTATGCAAGCTGCTGACTCGGCTGTTTCCTTTAACGTGTATAGTAGAATCAAAGCTGTTTTCCAAAAACTATACACATAGAGATTTACTGATGACGAATAACATCTTTTTAATGTCTAGTCACAGAATTCAGTTCAGCCAGAATAGTAATACCTTGTCATTATTAAAAATAACAGTTTTAAATATGATGTAAAATGAACTTTAGTTGTGGTTTCAAGCTATTATTAGACAGATTCCTGTTATATTATTAACCATGTATAAACTACTTTGTCTAAATTGTACCCCAAGAATGAAAATATTATTTTAAAAGTGTATTAACATTTTAAAAATTACTTGTGGGGAGCTTGTAAGAAAGTAAGACTCAAGTTTTCTCAGCAAGGAAAACTTTTGTAGCTCCAGCCCTTCCATGACCACATGCTCTGCCGAAATTTAGTGCACAGAAATTTCTGACATGAGGTACCAGATTTTTTTCAGACACTATCCAGTTGTTTTAAAAAATGCCTTGATAGTCCACTTCATTTTAATTGTAAATTCATATTCTTAGAAAGTTACTCAAAGCTTTCAAGTAATAAAACTCCAAGGCCTACATTTTGCTTGTGGATGTTAATACTGAAATGTGATTTGGGTCAGTATTATAATGCTATGTCCACAAATCAGAATTTATTTTAAAATTGCTCCAAATATCTGTTCTTGTTACTTTTTAATCCAATAAAAGTTTTCTTTTTCCTTTATGATAGCATTCAGATTAAAATTTCATATTCTTCAGTGCTTCAGACAAACACTTCCCAACTGCCTGCCATAATTTCAGTTGTCTTTTACAAAGCAAAAATAAACCATGTAACATAGTAGATATCATTTAAATAGATAACTTCATTACTTAGAAATACTGAATTATTTTCTCATATTTAAAACTTTTATTTATCAAACATGGCCTAGAAGGAATTTCAGGATGTGGAAACCTTCATGACATTTTAAAATAATTTTGCAGTCAGACAATTAAATTAGTAGTCTGTATTTCAGGTTCCTGAATAGTACTGATAAGCAACAGGAGCAATGATAGAGAATTGCTTAAAATTCACGTTACTAAAAAAAAAAAACATTTTTTCTATCTTCCATTTTTCACCAAGTTCCTATTTTTGTACTCAAAGGTCCAAATAATATTGGGGGAATAACGCATATCATTCTTAAATTGTCTCTGCCTTGATAAAGATGTTCAACACTTTGATAATATGTTCTTGGGTCTCACGCATAAGAGTTAACATATTTTTTTTCTGAATGCTTCCTCCCAATTTTGTTACGGGGGATTCTGTAGAGATAATAGGCACAAAGAAATGTAATCTGGCGTTAAAAGAAATAAAGGAAAGAAAGAAAGAAAATGGCAAGTGTAGACTGTGTTTCTAGTGAAAAGCATATTTTTGGTTATAAAAAAGGAAATTTCCCAGCTTCCAATGGAGAAAGACATAGCCTTTGATAAAATTGCACATGTTCTAATTCATTCCCTTTAATTTTTTTATTGAATCAATTTTGTTACACAAGAAAGCAAACCTCACTTGTCCAGAGCCTGCTAAAAATGTGCCAATGAGATCCTAGTTTGTATGTCATATACTGTCCTCTATGCAGGGGATAGTAATTTCCTCAAATACGTACAAAGACATAGCTGCTGTAAAAACCTTCTCTGAAACACTCTCATCTACTGGGTTACATTCCTCATTTCCTGATGTGCCTAGTCAAGCAACTTGCAAGTTCATTGAAACCTGAGACTTTTATATGGAGTTTCCAGAATTCTGGAAAGAATTTTAGATGAAGTACCAAATCACACAAAAGCACAGATTTCAAAATATATGGATCAAGTCCAAAAAGTATTTGTGTAGACTTGCAATTACCAGTAGAAGTTCAAAGATGATGAATATTTAAGTTTTTAAAATACAATTTTTAAAAAGACTTATATAAACAGCAGAGAAACTTTCTGACCATTTATCCATTAACCAATGTAAAAAGCAAAAGAGTTATACTGAATTCATAGCTGCTTGACCTCATCAGGTCGGAGAGCCAGTGCTCCTGTCTCTGGTGTTCAAGTGCAGGTTTTCTTGGGAACAAGTTCAAAAGTTTTTCTCTCCATGCCACTTACTGGCTTAGACCTTGGACAATTTACTTAATATCTTCAGGTATCAGTTACCTAATCTATAACAGTGGGCATAATCACTGTTTATTTCATAGAGCTTTGTGAGAAATTAGATAATAAATCAAGTAATATGGAAAAGGGCTTAGTACTGAGCCTGACACACAGTAAACTCCCAGTAGATGGTAGTTGTTCTTGTCATGTTTTATTACTCGCTGTCATGGAAGACATGATTTTTAAATAAAAAAGGGAGCACAAATGGTGGCAAAGCTCATGCTTCTCAAGTTCCTTTGCTAGCAGAACCATATTTACCTTAGTTCTAATGAACTAATTAATAACTTGCCAGTAACAGTTAAGAAGTTTTCTCCTTTGCCCTCTTTAATTTTACAATCTAAAATTTCCTACATCGTATTAAATGTTATCTGATCACTTTCACTTTCCTTGTAGAAACCTAAGCTTTCCAAACTTTAGAAAAATTTTTCTTAATATACTTACTGGGTGAACACAGATAATCAACTTTAATTTTTTTAAAAGAATGATCAAAGGAAACCTCAGAATTGAAAACTGTTCCCTTCTATTTAATAAGTAAAATTTATTGTCACCTTTTTCAAAAGATAAAACAATTAGATTGGTTTATAAGAACAATATTCATTATGATAGTGCTAATTTGGAAGTTTCTCATTACACTCATTCATTTATTCGACAAACATATATCAAGCATCAACTCTGGGTCAGGCACTACTCTACAGCTGTAGTGTTACAAAGCTGACAAATAAGAATTGTCAGTTCTCTATGGGTAGAAAAAACAATGTGTATCTATAACCCCTGGAGAATTGGACACTCCCCACTTACTATGGTTGGTTCCTCTTCCCTTTTGCATCCCAAACGACTCCTCTGACTCACCTTAACATGCCTCCCTTTCCTTATCAGACAGCTATAGAGTAGTGTCTGGCACATTGTAGGTGTTTGATGTACGTTTGTTGAAAAAGTGAATAAGTATAATGAAATACTTCCAAATTAGCACTATCATAATGAGTATTTCTTAAATCCTGTGGCACTCATGATGCTTAGCAACTCGTGGCACATTGTGTGGGCTTGATGAACATTATCTGCTTTCATTCCTAATGTTTACATAAGCCACATCAAAGTTTACAGAATTTAAGACCTTGGAAGGATCCTAGTATAAATCATCTAGATCAATATCCCATGGTACAAATGAGGAAATGAAGACCGTTATGTTGCTTGTCTCAGGTTGCATGGCTGATGAGGAACAGTATCTCTTGGCTAATCTCCCCTTTTCCAAATCTGGGCTCATGTCTCACCTTAGTGAGCTCACCCTGACTGCTGCACTGCCCCTTCTCTAGCACTTGATCTCTCTCCTATCTTCTTTCCCTTGTCTCTGTAGCACTGGTTACACCCTTATGCATTTTTACATGCACTGTTTGGTCCATTTCTGCCACAAGAACTTAAGAAGACTCCACACAGGCAGGGATCTGTGATGTATCTAATACCTAAACCAGTACCCAACACATAGTAGGTAATCAATACATGTTTGTTGAATAAATCCAGGACCCAAATACAGGTACTTTTCCTAATCAAGTCCTAGTCATCTTTTCAAATCTCAGGGAAATTTTTTCAGTTCATGGAATGAAAGGCAGGAGACGAGGAAGAGGATTACAAGTTTGGATAGCAAACATGCTTAGTTCCCACACTGCGCACAGCATCTTAGACTTGGTGAGAGTCCCTCAGAGGCAGGATGCAGCAGTCTTCCTAATGCGTGCATGCAGCTTTGAGGAGTATTCAGTTTACACTTGGTCACTGTAATGCTATCCTGCTCCTTATGTAAGATCTGCAGAGTCGGGATATGCTGGTGCAGAGTGGATCAGAAGGAGCGGAGTGAGTTTAATAATGTATGATCACAAACCAT